AAATTGTTAAACAAAATCAAATATTTGGTACTCAGCATGATCTAGAACAGACCAACAGAGGTAGTAACACTACAATTTCAAGGTAATAAAATATAATATAATACATACTTAAACTTAATTAATAAACTATATACGTATAAAAGAAACTGTAGAAGAGAAGAAATTAATACCTACCTGCGACTACTCTGCGAGTCCTGCGACGCGAGAAAGTAGCGGAAGAAAGTAGCGGAAGAAACGGGACAGCAGATGTGGGAACTCGGAAGCAAAGCAAACGCAGAAGGAAGAAGGGAGAAGAAGGAATAAGGAAGAAGACTAGAGAGACATCCATGAGGCGTGAGAAGCGCGCGCCTCTCAGAGGCGCAAAAGGCGTCAAAAAGCGTCGTATAAGGCGCGCCTCTTGGAACCTACGCCGCCTGGGGGTTGAAGATGCGATAAAGTGTTCGCCTTAGGGCGCCTCGCGCCTTTGCGCGCCTCAGGCACGCTTTTTTAAACTAAGCCCGGTCGGGTCCCCTACTTGACCCGGCACATTTTAACGTGCTGAAACACAATAATGTGGAAGATGATCTGATTTTGACCGGTACCCCGGTCGGGTAAGTACTATACCCGGTCGGGTACCCGACCAAAGGTGTTGAAAAACACCTATAAATAGCACACTTTTTCTTCACAAATTCCCATTCTTTCTTCTATACTCCTAAGCTCAGTTTAGAATAGTATTTCTTTATATTTTTCTAGCATGTTTAGTCTCCAAATGAGGAGCTAAACTCTCATTTCTTGGTTTTGCTCTTGAAGCTCGTTGATTATTAAAGTTGTGAGTTATTTTCTTAACTTCTTCTCTTGATTATTAATTCTTCCCTTAATCTATCTCTATATTAATGTTGGAGGATTGCTAAGTGACGATTAGTTAACATTCCGACATTAATTACTACTAGAAACGATCAACGAACCGATGGTTAATCGTTGATGGTTTCACAAGTAAGTAACTTCGGTTTATTAACGCACGGTTGTGGTTAATAAACTTGAGAGGGATCAATTTTGTTGGTTAAACCGAAACCATTGTGTTGAGGTTATCAATCTCAATTGATTTCATCAAGGAGTTAGAAAGATTAAATGCTACTATTAAATCGGTATAAGGCGTTGTTCTATATTTGATTAATAGTAAGGGTTATTAATGAACGGTCGTTGTTAATAACTACCCTCGATGAATTGGATATACTCCTTGATTGAGTATTCGAGGGGGGATAAGTTATAGATATAACAAGGATCGACTAAAATATATCAACAAGTGGAAAGTAGCAAAGTCAAGTCCTTTTATACTTGAATTAAAACACATATAGGTTGTTCATCTTAGTTCTTATTAAATTAAATTATTCAATCCAAATCCCCCCCCTTTATTTACTTTTTTTTATCTCGAAGATCCACCTTGTTAGGTGTAGTAAATGTCGGGGAACATTTACTATGTTTTATTAAAATAAACTAATTTGATTGTTACAAGAGAATGCAAAAGTAGAGAACAAGGGGTTGTGGTCGACCTAGCCCAACTAGAGAACAAAAAATAAGAATTTGCCAAAGTGGGCCTGAAGAATAATATCGCAACCGCATCCGTCCAAGCATATGGTGTCCGCGCACAACACAATAATCCAAAGCAAGTGTTCAGAGGAAACCCTAGAGCCAGTAGATAAGTTAGAAGAGTAATGTGGAGATCGTCGTTCCGATGCCAGCAATCGATGTCGGAGGGGATAGTGGGGAAGATATTCGACCCCGTGTCTCTGACGTAAGTTAAAAAGATTTCATTAAAAAGATTTCATCAGTCCCCCCCCCCCCCCTTTTATTTACTTATTTCATTAAAAAGATAATTATTCCTTTCCCTGTGGATACGAACTCTACTTCACATATATTACGTATAAGTGTTAGTATCGATTTATTTTGACGCACCGTGACGAAGTGCACATCAACGTGCAACTTCTGTTCAGAAGGAAATCCTTATGGTCACTGGACAAGCAGATGAATCTCAAGCTACTTCGTATATGGTTTCTATAAATGGAATTAATAGCAAAGCAAAAGATGCAACACTCATCAGTGCCCTAGAAAATGGAATACAATCAGACATTAAACATGATGCTACCACAATGCATCAGCCAGTAGATGATTTTGCAACATTTCATAAAGAGGGCTGGTCTCACCAAGTTCATGAACCGGGATTGGGTTTTATAATGGATTCTGTGTACCGTCAATCATCACACATTACTATGGAATGGCTGAACAAGTTTGATAGCTTCAGAATTGATGGCTTTACTCCCATGATGTATAATCAAAATGGGTTGGGGGAAGGATTTACTAGGAACTTTAAGGAGTGTTGGATATGTTACTGAAGTTGAGGCTGATGTGAATTTGATGTTTTTGTCAATATTCTCAAATATGGTCTCTTCCCAGATGCCATTATAGTTGGTGAAGATGTTAGGGGGCTGCGAGCTGTTTGTATATCTGTTCAAGAGGGAACTGTAGGTGTTGAATACTCGTCCTGTATTACTATTGCTGGTAAATGGATCATAATACTCCGGAAAAGAGATAAGGATGGGGAGAAGGGTGACAGTGCTCACAAACTTACTAATAGCAGATGGAGAGAGAATATTGTGCTTATGTTGAAGGTCAGGGCCAAAATCCTGTGGGTGCAGGTGTTGTCTTAGTCCTGAGTGACCTGGAAAAGAATTTGTTGGAGGATAATCTACAGACTAGTTCAATTGAAGGACCACCTTTTAATCACGTGGATGTCAAGTCTGGGATGGCAGTAAAGGGCTGCAATTTGGTACTTTCTGCAAATTGGGACTCCTCTGATTTTGGACTGAGGTGGGATAATGAATTTGCTCTTAGTAGCATTTTGGAAAGAAAAAATCATGCAAAAAAGGAGTTTGGTGCTGTTATCAGATTTAAGAATCATGGCAATGTTTTTGGACCTATTTCAGAATACCAGTTGTGTAGAATCAGTGTGGATCTGGACCCTACTATTCAGGCTGCTGTAGTTGATGTCTCCAAGAGAGAACAACTCATGAATTTATCTATAACACCAGAAATTGTTAATGGACTGGAAACTGAAGTAAATTTTCAAGCTTATAAATTGGACTTATGCTTCAATGATCCAGAAGTGAACTGTTCCAGTTGTGTACTTCTAATGGAATCCAATCTAGTTGATGATGTTGGAAATATAGAAGTGGTGCCCTACTTGCTGGGAAGAATCGTTAAGGCTTTTTTCTCCTCACTTGGGCTAATAAAGTTGGATGCATATCCAATCAGGGAAGCCAAGAGAGTTCAGGAATTATTCTCTAATGGGCTATTTGGGAAACTGTTCATGCGTGCATCAGGTGGTCTGGCCGATGAGAACGACTCTATGGATTGTTGCTCTTGGTGTTGGCCAGGTTTTAGTGAAGCATTATGTAACCCGGCCCTTGCCTCTGCTCCTTGCTGTGGAAAAGTGACAACAAAGGTTAAGTTCATGAAGTTCAGGGTCCCGAAATCAGGGAGATACTGGGAAGGAAGAGGCGTGAAGATGAAGCTGAATGGCATGGCTGTTTCTTACTCCTCACCTTTAGGGCAGGGTGGTTGTCAAAGGGGGAGTAATGATAGAGACCTAGATAGTACTAGTCATAAGAATTATATTAGTCTTTTAATATTGTACAATAAAAGGGGTTTAAGCCTTCAATTAAATAGCAGTGGGCTAGCCCAAATGGAAAAGAATAAATAGGAGTTGGGGGAGTAGAATAAGGCAGGCAGAATTTAGTCAGAACTGGGAATTTGGGAGAGCGAGACCTCTCAAAGAGTCTCATCTATTTTCTGATTCTTCTCATTCTTCTCTTTCAGCCATTGTAAGACTGAGATTACTATCAATATACTACCAATTTCTGCTGCGTTTTGCTGAGTACCTATCACAGCTGGTGAGGAAAAAGCTTGATGAGAAGGTCTGGGGGATCGGAAATGGGATGAAAGGATGTTGCATAATTATATTAAATGAGTTTAAGGGTATCATTGTCATTTTGGTTATTTGTTATTACTGACAAGGGAAGTGTTGCATCTATTTTGAAATTGCCAAAAGAGGAAAGTGTTGCAATTATTTAAGAATGGAGGTAGTATGACATCAGCATTTAATCGGGACCACATTAATAACAGTGTTTCGTGATAAGAATGTGCGGAGTATTTATTTAGTAAATTACTACCACTATCCTAAATTATAACTTTGCTTGAGATTATGATGGAATAAAGCAAAATGGCTCACTAAACTGTCTGCGCTTCTTTGTTATGAAGCAGCAGCCAGCCCATGCAATTTTGGACGGGATTTTCACTATGGGTCATCCGGAAACAGTCTCTCTGTGCTTTAGTACAGGGGTAAGACTGCGTACATTCGACCCCCCTTTACCCCACCGTAGGTGGGAGCCTTTGCAGCACTGGGGTAAATGAAAATGAAATGATCCTAAATTATAACTTTGCCAATTTTCCTTCTTAGTTGTCCCACTAACCTATGTTGGTTCGACTTCATTCTTAGAACTCGTTTGATAACAATGGAATTGTTTACACTCTGCCTGAAACAATTGAATCTGCTAAGTTATGAAAAAACATGTTTTATTAATAAAATAAAGAAAATTATATGAAAAAACAAAAATAATCCTATTTGGCAAATTCAACCAATTAAGAATAGTAACTTCCACTTTACTTATTTTTCCTAATAAGAGATTTAGCGTGAAAAATTAAAAGTTCAATACTTCAATGTTTGGCAAAAAATAGCCGACAAGGCCAATCAGCTAAAATATGAGGTTACCAAATGAACTCCTACTTTATTCAAACTTTGCAATTATACATCAATCACATGACTCTATTTTTCTTAATAACTGCACCACCTCATGGGAATGGAGGTAATAGAAATTTATAAAACCCGCCTTGAAACAAGAATGCATTGGCATTGATGCAATAGTTACTTTCGTATGAAAAACTGGTTTGGAAGTGCAATATTTGTGGTGAACAATTGAACGTGTAGGTACAAAGAGATATAGGGATTTATGGAAGTACCTTGAACCGTGAGGCGTCTTGCAAGCAAACCTGCAAGATTCACCTCTGTAATAGTGCCTCCCATGAAGCCAATGATGAATAACCTCCCATCAACATTAAGGCTGTCGATGTTTCTCTGAAAGTATGGCCCTCCAATGTTATCCAATATAACATCAACACCTTGCAAACCGCACCATTATATCATTCTCACCACAAACTCAACATAAGCATGCAACACAAAATCCGGTATTAATACAAAGGGCTTCTTAGGGGTTCCGCATTGAAACATTAAATAAAGACATATGAGTTTATAAGGTTGAGAGCTAGAGTAGCTAATTCATTACATTCAATCTTCTGGTAGACAGTGTGCATTAGGTCCAACTGAGTGAGCCAACCCAATTACAAAAACTATGTCGAACAACAAATATAGTTACAGTACATGTTTACCCTTGCAGCCTTGCATCATATTTTTTCATACTGCTAATTTATTACGGTGTATATTTATGGCATTACTGTTTACCTTTTCCGCCTGTTTCTGTCTTCACACGGGTGACAAAGTCCTCAGTTTTGTAATTTATGCAAACGTCTGCTCCAAGATCCTTGCAAGCAGCAAGCTTTTCCTCGCTTCCTATATATTATGTAGATGTTTCCTTAATGGGTACTTATAACTTGATTAAAAAAACAATACGGTTCTACAAATTGACCTGCTGTGACAAATACTTTCACACCAATGTACTTAGCCATTTGAATGGCAAATGTACCAATTCCACTAGAGCCCCCATGTATCTGAAATTCCATTGCACATTGTCATGTTAAATAATACAAAAAGGTTATACACTTGTACCAAACAAAAACAATAAAAGATAGAGGCTTTTTAAAGAAATCAAAGTTCACGACATTCTAAGCATTCAATGGATGGTTTTCAATCATTCAAGACCTATATTATTAATATTCATCTTCAAAGTCTTTGATTGTTATTTTGATAATTAACCTGTCTTTCTAGTCTTGAACTGAAAAACTTATTGTGTGTTTCCTGCCTTCAAATATTACATTTTTTGTTTGAAATTCCTGTAAAAGTTTATGTTGTTTATTTATCTCTACGATTTACGTCATCTTTTTGTACTCCCTCTCCGCCAACCTGCTTTTGAAAAAACTAAAGTGGCTCACAAGAACTCCACGCTGGTAGACTTTAGTCTGGCTTTTCCATATCAACTTTCTCTGGCCAATGCACTACTGCTAGGAGAGTTAGTGCTAAGCGAAACTCATCATTCTCACTTTCGATCAACGCATTTAGTTAAAGAAGGTAAGTCTAGAGTTCTGTGGCCACGTCAATTTTTTAAGAATATTAGCAAAGAATGACTATAAAGAAGATGGCATAAATAAAAATAATAAGAAACACATAAGCCTAATAACAAAGTTACAAAACAAAAAAACACTACATCAGCAGGTATAATTGTATAAAAAAACATATTTAAGCCAAAGGTGAACAAAGAGTCGAGTTTTTAAAGTTAACTATTGCAATCTAAAAATTGCAAATGGTAACTTCGAAGTACTACATACTACATAGTTCATATCATGATAGATAATGGTTCTTACTGCCAAAATTGCATTTAATTTGTGATTGCCACAAAAGAAAACCGATGGTTGAAGAGTAAAACCTAAAGAACTTTTGAGAGAATAAGACTAGGTTACCAAGAAAGTTTCCCCGGAGCATAGATGGCTAGTCATAAAGACAGTTGACCAAACCGTACAAGCCACTTCAGGGAAACTGGCTGCATCGTGCAAAGAAATGCCAGGTGGAACGGGAAAAACCTGCCCAGCTGGCACAGCAACTTTCTCTGCATAGCCTCCACCACCAATAAGAGCACATACCTGTGAAATATACTTCGTCAGATAGTTGTCTTATCCCATAGTTTTTGGAGGTAAAGTATAACTAGATAAATAAATACCAATCAACTCTAAACGAAATGTCACAAATAACATAACCAGTGGCCCAAAAAACAAGCCAACAGTGATACTTCCTAATATTCCCATGAACCCTTGTTTGGTTGTATCACTTGGATGATTTAGGACTTGGGCAGGAATTGGTATGAAAGCGGAGGACGTATAGACCTTCAAACTGCTAATATTCCCATGAACCCTTGGGGTGAATTTTTTTTCATAATTTCTTTTTTACCTTTTAAATCAACATTGTTCTATGTTGTGATCATTATATTACAATGTAATTTATTTACACAGAAAAATATACTCCCGACCCAATAGTGTGTCTGTCATAGGGGGTTTCGCACACCATAAGTAACCCATCAGAGTACCTAAGACTGAAAGAGAGACTTTCCTCAATAACTTAAAATAGAATAGACATATTTGTAGACTAGATCCTGTAAATAATACATTTATCCACATTATGAACTTTTCCATCATAATGTAAATATTACAGCGGAAATTTGCACGCCGTCAGCGGCTGCGAGAAGTCTTAAAATAGACAAAGTTATTAGTTAGACAACTAAATTTACGGGACAGTCAAAGTTATCAGTAAATCTCCTAGCTTAATAAAACATACTCTGTATATGTTATTATGTTTACCCTAAATTAGGGTGATTGTTCTATACAAGTAAGGTTGACTGTATAAACAAAAATACTCCTAAGTATATGATTTAGTTGTTGCATTACAAATTTAAAATAAAATCAACCATAGCCAGAGTCCGGCCTAATGTTGTCACATCTAGATGACTGCGGCCAAAGAATGTCATCTGGAAACCATGCATCCATCATGATCCTTCATTCAGACAACCTCGGTGAAGTACTGACTTCAGGATTCCAATGATCAAAAGCATTCTTCCTTACCTGAGATTGACAGGTGACCAGCTTCCCCGTCCTTTTGTGGGGGTGACGTGAGAAATGGAAACAATTTATTTTATTTATAATTAGAAAATAAAAGATTATTTGATGAAGTATGGAATGTTAGAAATGGAATAAGCAGACCTATTTGGTGGTGGACTTTAATGAGAAGTATCAGTTGTAGTTCTTGGAGAAGGGCAAGCCAACCAAACCAATGATTTATAGGGATTATTACTTAAAAAGTAATATAAAATCCTCAACCTATGCTAGTTCATGAACTGAAGCTGTAATAATTAGAAGATTGGGGGCGAGTAATGGGGTCTAGATATACACTCACTCTGTCACCGACTTTCCACTTGTTGACATTTTTGCCGATAGCTTCGATAGTACCGGAACACTCGAGACCAGGGTAATTAGACTCGCCTTTCGGAGGTGGGTATTTCCCTTGACGCTGAAGGGTGTCCGCTCGGTTGAGCGCGGTGGCTGCCACTTTGATCAGCACCTCATCGTCTTTCATCTTTGGGTCTTCCACGTCTTGGATTTGAAGAACTTCCGGCCCACCGGGTGTCGTGATCGCCACTGCCTTCATTGTTTTAGCCGGGCTGCTTATTGTCTGTAAAGAACTTGCGAATGAGGTTTTTACGCTATTCAACCAGAGTTTCTTTGAGTTTTTTTTACCTAACAGGACTAAATGCTCTTTTATGTGCACAAATAGGACTAGAAAGGTGTTAATCTTTCAATTTTAGCCTCTACATTAGATTAGTTGAACGTTCAGCCGAGGGAAGTTTTCTAAAAATCCGGCCAGAATCCTGCGAGGAGAGAGGGCGAAAACATAGGGAAATGAGGCGGGACAATTGTTATGGAGTATTTTCCCGAGGCAAGACTCGTGAATCTAGTTTCAAAGGCAACCACCCCATTTACTCGACCCCTTTCTGCCATCCGGAAAGTGCAACATCGATTTCAAGAACGGAAGCCTAAAAAGGTGGAAGACGAAAACAAGGGAAGCAGTTGAAGCGCGACGATGGCCGGAGACGAGGTTCCGAAACAGACGCGAGGACAACAAACAGAGCGGGAGAAAGCAGAACTTTGGAACATCAATTTTGTGTTTACGGACGGTATTGTGTTGCAATTGTATGTGTTAGTAAATATTGGAAAAGAATGACATATGTACGATACTTTGGAACGAAAATCTGGAAGATTTTGTTCCTAGTGTTTAGTACAAATTGTGAAATTTATTGTGCAGATGAAATGCATGCAATAGAATGGCATATTGTACATATAATTGGTTACAATATAGTACATGAAAGAGGGGAAAATGGCAAATTGTAAAAAGGGTGTCAAAAATTGGATGGAATAAATTCCTGAAAATGAAATATATCAAAACAACATGTAAAAATTGGTAGTAGGGTTAAAGCTTGGAATTTTAAATGGCATAAATGGCAGAAACTAATGTTGTTGAAATAAATGACAAATCGTTGATGAATGCACTTTGAAAAATTGATAGGATGTATAGACTTTTAAAAGAGAGTGTCAGGTGTGGTTGTAGTTGATATTGCCAAAATTTTGGCAACTGAACTGAGGGAATATGGCAGAATCTGAATAGGTTTAAAACGTTGATAGCAGAAATGCCTTAAAATGAAAGTTGTACAATGAAACATGAAAGAAATGGTAGTATGGAGAAAAACTTGGAAGTCAGATAATTAGAATGGAATAAATGTAAGGTAGTAGCGTTGCAATGGTAGTAGCTTTTTGGAAGAAATCACAAAATTAGTGCCTTAAAACGAAAGTTGTACAATGAAAATATGGAAGAAATGGTAGTATGGAGAAAAACTTGGAAGTCAGATATTTAGAATGGAATAAATGTCAGGTAATAGCTTATTGGAAGAAATGACAAATTAGTGCTAAGTTATTGAAATATAAATGGCAGAAAGTGACAATGAACATTCTCAAATTTGAAAGCTTCACACCAATGACAATGAACATCCGGCATGTATCTTGTAGATGTGCACATGATATTTGTATTAATAATTAGACTACTGTAAATGAAATGTGTGAAATGAATGGTTTTGTGTTTATTTAGGTGATATAGAGAAAATTTGGAAAGAAACCACTGCAAAATGTAGAAAGCATGAGGATTAATTACTATTGTAGTTTGAGTGAGGTAGTGAAGAGCATAAAACAACAACTTAAAGATGGAGAATTGTTTGAATCCAGGAGGAGTGTATTCGGTTGGGTATTGGATGTGGAAGAGATGCGCACAATTAGTGGGCAACTTCAACTTGGATTTCTGTGCAACTACGTAAAAAAGGTGAATGGGAGGAAAGAGGTGAATGCCATTCATTTTCATATTGAGAACAGCCTAGTTACTTTCAGGAAAAATGATTTGTGCATGGCTCTGGATCTTAAATTTAGAGGAGTTAAACCACATGTAGAAGAGAATTTTAGGGGGGCATTGTGGAGAAAGTATTTTGGAAACACATCCGGGGTGAGAAGAAGTGATTGTCAAAACGATTTAATGAATTACAATAGTGAAGACCCTGACAATGAACAAAACGATAGTGTGAAGCTTGCATTGCTCCATGTGTTGTCACATGGTTTGTTTGGGAACCACGCGGCAAGAGAATTGTTAGAAAATTGATGTAACGTACCTCAAAAGTACAGCAACGGAAGTTTAAAATTTTCCCAAACAGATCTTCCCTGATTATGACAAAATAACGAATATGATAATAATAACATATCTGAGTTAGAACTTACAGATCTTCCAGCCTAGCGGTGATAATCCTTGACCTTTGGTATCCACGTGATTTCTCCTTTCCGAAAGAACGGTTAGATCTCCCTAAGAGAAAGGCTAGGAAATCTCTTCGCATGTAAAATAACCTGGTAATACTGAATCTGAAAACTGGTCTAATAATTATGAAGGAGGATGATGTATTTATACTAGTTCTAAACTAGTTTACCAATCACAATAATAGTCTTTCTGATTAATTAGTTCTAGTCCTAACAGGACTAATGCTTATCAATGATTTAATCAATTAAATAAAATAAATAATAAACTATAATAATATTAAGGAAGGAGAGGGGCTGCACACACCACCTCCCTTCTCTTATTATTGTTTATTTATTATTCGTTTCTTTTAATTCAAAATCAAAAGAAAAAGCCATCTTTATTTAATTAAAAATACATCTTAATTAAGTATAATAAATCTAATTTATTTCACTTAATTAATTCTATCAAATAGAACTGTCCTTCAACTTCATGAATTAAATATGTTTGATCTAATTAATATTTAATCCATTTTCAGTATTATGAATTAAATATTATTTAATCCAATTAATAATATTTAATTCCTTCTAACAATTCAATCGGAAGGTATAATCACTTGTTGTGTGACCCATAGGGCCTTATATATTAAGCACTAATCAAATTAAGGTCTTAGCGAATCCCTAGACGATTCTCCAGACAAACTTAATATATAAGGACGTTTGCGAGGACTACACAAACTCCCTGTAATATAGAGCTCATAGTGATACGGTCCTTTCATTCAGCGAACATTCAACTAAGTCTAGAACTTGATATCGTGTCTATTCCAATAACTTAGTCTCTGTCTCTCAAACTTTCTAGATGATCCATAATGATCATATTCGATATCCAAAACGAATATATCTTTGGATTGGCCAATGACTTTATGATCCATCTAGATATGAGAAGTAGAATGTTCCCTCTTAATCTATTACGATGAATGAATCATTTCTTGGCTCAACTAATACTCCATGTGCTTCGTGATGTACCCAACACATGCCGTATCTACCCCGATTGGAGTGCAAGCGTTGGTCATGGTCAAAGTACATCACTCCGCACATGTAGTACGTATTGACCTCAAGTCGGAGGACTATTACACTACTCTATACGCCGATAATCCCATAGACACATGAATAGAACTTATCAAATGGTTTCTCGGTGGGTATGTCAATATTCTCTAAAATATCTATGTGACTATCATGAATTACAAGAACTCATAGTTGTGAGATCAACTATACTTTCTAAATGTATGATGCAGTCCACATACCAATCTTATCGCATATCATCAATATCCCATTCTTGATGATCATTGATTGGGGCTATTTTAGGACCTTATGTTATATCATATAAGCTCCCACTTACTTATTGACATTATAAGTCTAAGGGAACACAATTATGAATAAGATATTGACAATCGAAATATTTAATCATCAATGTGTAATACCGTATATATCAAAAATATAAAACTGAATGTGATCAAGTACATATATCTCTAAAAGGTGATTGTCGCTAGGACATATATAATAACAAGAATTACACGCAATGTGTGTGAATTTGGTTGAAGACTTGGATGATTTCAATGAATATCCATGGGGGTGATGTCTGGGCTGAGTTGGTCGATAACATGAGAACCAATGCCAAGAGTTTAAAGAAATGTAAAGGGCAACACGTCACACTGACAGGATGTTTAATTGCCATACAAGTTTGGGCATTTGAAACCTTCACAGGACTGACCAATACAGATATGATAGACCGCATGCATGCATACGTAGTACATTCCTTCGGCCACTACAATTCCTATCATGTATATTTGTACAATATTATCCTAAGTGTGCAGCTGTATTATTTAGATAAACATTCTGTGAGTTCCTCACATTGATAACCAAGTTGTTAGGCTAGAAGAGTCCCATGCGGACGTAATACTCTTGTACATATCCTATTTATATTGACTCAATACCGAAGGCATATTCACGATGAAAAGCATTACGTTCTAACTTCGTATCAGATTATTTCGATCCTAGTTCTCCATGGCTTCCTCACAGAAAACCTCTTTCCACCCGGCTCTTGCCGTCACCTCCATAAAAAATCTCATCCCTCTCACTTTTGACACCAAAAATGTCCAATACTCATCATGGGCGGAACTATTTAAGCTTACCGCCCGAGCTTATGATGTTCTCGGTCATATTCTCCAGACTGATTCTCCTTCTGACAGCACCACATCGACGGCTTCCTCCTCCCTCTCCGACGCCGATCGCCTACACCTGGCCACTGAAGAAAAAGCTCTTTGGAACCGTATAGATGCACTTGTTCTCCAGTGGATCTACGGTACCATATCACATGAATTGCTGCACACCATTCTCGAACCCAATTCCACCACCATGGCCGCATGGAATCGCTTGGCAGACATCTTCCAGGATAACAAAAATGCTCGGGCCCTACATCTCGAGGATCAGTTCACCGGCACCCGTTTGGAGAATTTTCCTTCTATCTCCTCTTATTGCCAGGCCCTCCGTACCATTGCCACTCAGCTCGCAAACGTTGGCTCACCGGTTAATGATAACCGTCTTGTGCTACGTTTGGTGCATGGACTCCCTGCCTCGTATGAAACTGTTACCTCTTTCATCCAGCAAACTGAACCCCTCCCTTTCTTTGAAAAGGCACGGTCCATGCTTCTATTGGATGAATCTCGCCGGCAACACCAACTGAGCACCGCCTCCTCACCTGCTTCCGCACTAGTCTCAACAGCGTCTCGTCCGGATGTTCATGCACCTGCACGTTCTCATGGCTCCGGCTCACGTGGACGAGGCGGAGCACGCCACCCCTCTGGTCACGGTAGAGGCCATGGTAGGTCCTCTGGTGGACGCTATTCTGACCC